ATACTTTCGGGAAATAAATAAAAGCACGGATTATAAATTGCTGCTAAAAGAGCCGCTGTCCCCGATACATAATACTTCATTATTTTTTTCGGGGCGCATTTTTGCATTATATCGAATGAGTATGCTGTGATCCAAATCCTCTTGAATCCATTATAAAAAAAAGACTGATAGTGCACCTAGGAAACCGCAATTAATAGCAGCTGTTTGAATCAACTTCACGTTTCATTGCCGGAAAGTTGAAGCTCTGGTGAAACTCTGCCGAGCAAAATAATATATATATAACGCAGCTTTTCAAGGGAGCACTAATTGAAGCAGAAAGAATATACAATCTGGGGCGCCACAGCTGGTTACTTAGCACTCAAGCGAAGCACTTAAGAAATAAACGTCTGCAAGAGAGCTTTCCCTCCTTTTTTAATTTACAAAATAAAATCTTTAAAGTTTTGCAGCTCCTAACTAAAGTTCGTCCGCAGATATTCACACGTGCCACTTACATTTTCTTCATGCATTTCTGGACTGCCCAGCTGCCATTATCATCCATCATCCCGCTGCCTGCGTTTTTTGTAATATAAATAGAGTGGTGATTTTATTTGTTTCTCAAGTTCTCTCATTTTAAAAGTTAAAGTTTGCAGCAATGCATTTTTTAAATCTAAAGAAGCCAGGCGAGCTGGAATAGGTTAATGCTGCCGTGTGTTCTTCTTCTTTATATTCTCATAGGCACGAACACCCAACATACATATTTGAATTAATATAGAAAGATCTGAATAATGATGTGATCATATAGAGGTGTCATTTGCTGTGTGAAGAATTGGATCCCCAGATTGGCCCGACTAGTGTGTGAGGGAAACAAACCTCGTGTTCTCACATTGGCCATGATGAGGTTGAACATTTTTGAAGAAAATAAGTATCATCGCAATTAATGTACCGATGCATTTTGCAAATAGCAGCTCTTCTTAAAGAAATTCTAAATAAAAAAAATATATAATTAAACTCATTTAGGTATTTTTAAACGGGGTTTACCTGCAGTTTTGAATGGGGTTATAATAAAGGGGAACCCATAAAGAAGTAAAAAATATTTGCGAGAAAAAAGGATGCAGGTTTACTTTGAGTGGACATACCACATAAGTAGAACGTGCACACAATGCAAACCGCATTAAGGTAAGACAAGTGTAGATACTGAATTTTTGCATATTAGTCCTCAATAACTTATTTTGCGGATTCACTACTGCATTTTTAACAAGTCACAAATTCCAAAAGTTTCAAAACAGAGCGAAATTAATGTAAATTAAACAGGACCGAAGAAGTGAGTATAAAGTCTAGCTTCAACGTTTTAAACAACAAGCGTAAGAAAAGAATTATGAAACGAAGTACTTAGTGCTCAAACGTCATCCCGTAAAATGATTCCACTGTAGAGCACTTTTATTGTGTGTCAAAAGTCGATGAACCACAACGCACAAAACAACATGCGAATAAATTCATTGGTACATGAACATTTGGTGTCCGCACCGGCGAATGTGAAATCGCTTTTTCTGTTGTCACCAAAACGAGCAAGAAATGTTTGTATCTATTCGCTTCATATCGCTCTCTCAAAAGTGTAAAGATTCGAAATGCTTCTAACACAATGGAGCGCGATACCTCACTCAGATCTGCTCCACACGACTCCTTATTGAACATTACAGACATTTATAGTAATATATGCTTTGAAATCAGCAAATGCAGTAAACTAAATTACCACGGACCGGTTTTGGAAGCTTCTCTGATGAAGTTAAAACCAAGGCGTTATTTGTGCGTAACTGCTGCTAGAAAGAACACTATATATACATTTACTTTTATATTCACATATAGAAAGAATTCACTGGCGGTCATATATGTCTGCGCAACTGCTGAGCGCATGCTGTTGGCGAGCTTCCGGTGTTCTTTTGCAACGTGCATTCCGCGTCATCAAGATTGTCGGTCTTATACTCTTGTTACACGGTAACACTTAATCGCAGTTAACTCACCTTTAACTGCTGTTACGCGGCACCACAGTTACCCCACTATACTCTTGGATAGCTATTTCAGAAGAGGCGAAGAGCACGCGTGCACTGCTATGATGGGTGCTCAATATGATCAAGCGCACGTGCTCCCATAGCTTTGACTGCGTAACCATAAAATATTGTCCGCGAGTATTGTACGCTAGCTGGGGCTTAGCGTAACTGCAGTTAAGTGTGCCCGTTCAACAGAGATATCAGCAGGCTATTAATGTGAGCTCTGAGCATGTGCTCTAAACATTGCCCTCAAATATGGCGCCGTGTAAAGGCCCCCTATAAGGAGTATTCACTGGGAGCCATATTTGTGGGTGCTGTCTAGAGCGCATGCTCAGAACGAGCCCACATTAATAGGCTGCTAACACCGGCAATCTTGAGGGTGCGGAATGCACGTTACGAAAGAACTGTGGAAGCTTGCCATCAGCACGCGCTCAGCAGTCGCGCACGCAGCTATGGCCGCCAGTGAATACTTCCTATAAGGAATATTCACTGGCGGCCATAACTGTGTGCGCGACTGCCGAGCACGCTCTGATGGCAAGCTTCTAGAGATGGCGAGCTTTCACATCGCACAGCATCAAGATTGCCGCTCTTAGCAACCTTTTATTATGAGCTCCTTCTGAGCATCGGCTCCAAACAGCATCCCCAAATATGGCGTCTTCTGAATACGCTTTATACTCCTTTTCACTTTAAAATGCGAGCGTAGCAGAAAGCACAAGAAGGAGTTACGAATTTTCAGCGTATTTGCCGAGCATGCGGGCTCGTGCAGTGCAAGCATCGTTCACAGCAACGCAGTATGCAACTTCGGGTTCTCTCCCACATAAAATAAAGCAAACTATATGGAGCCTTTTTCTTTAGGCTTATTTACACGACTGGGGACATTTAATTAAAATAAATACACTATATATATAATATTTGAACTAAGTTTAAGAATTCGTGGAACAATTGTTTTATGTTCCGATTGAGGGTTAATGTACATTTATGTACAGTAATATTAATTATATACATATATGTTCACTAAAATACTAGTTTATGTTGCCCCGTTCAAGTCCTTTTGACGATCTTTGTTGGAGGAGAGTTTCATATTATAATCGAATACTGGAGTTGCTTCGCTCCGGTTTAGTTGAATTAACCTTTTGCTTATAACTCACGCAGCATGATTTATGAGAACCGTCGAAAAGTGTGAATCTTGCTACCTAGATCCGTTCGTTCTTACAAGGGCCAGTCACTTTTATTATTCCTCGACCCTTTCCTTCTTTCTGAACCTAGTAAAAGAAGAAACATTTCTTTACTATAGTCGGTGAAAAGTTAAGAGTTAAGGGAAGCTCCTCTCACCAATTTCTACCTTAGCAGAGTTAACGCTGGAGAGGAGGCGACCTCCTCTGCTGCGTTCGCTCCGCTAAAGTGGGAAGAAGTGCAAGAAGTTTTCCCTGAAATCCAGAGATCAAAACTTCTCCTGTATCGACAATAGGCTCAATTAGAGTCCCTAAACAAGCTACCCTTAGAGTATTGACCCTCTGTTCCCACTAGAGCCACTAAATAAGCTTATTTAGTGGCACTAGTTCCCACTATTGTTGTGGGCGTCGCCATCTTGGTGCTTGTGCAGAGCAGACGCAACTGCCGATCGTCGTTATTCAAAAGTGCGACTTCCTCAGCTTTAGATTCGATGTTAGATGGCTCATGTAGTATTGCTTTGCTCTGTCGCGAACTCTTTTAAACATTCGTGGAGGACGGAAAAGCGTTTCCTGTGATTTGAAACAAAGGTTCAGATAACTGGAAAAAATAATTTTAAGTCACAAGATGGGTAAGTGTGGTTACTCTGAAGAGTAGTTTATGTAGTGGCAATAGGCTCAATAGAGTGAGGCAACCTAGTTACTTTTTTTTAAGTTCCGTTATAGACAGTTTTCTTTAGGTTTGAAGAAACCCAATCTTCGTTTTTCTTGTACAGCCATCGCATATTACGCAATCCCAATAAACATCGTCATCTTCTGTTTGGTTTTGTCAAACATGGCGTACGGCTCGTTCCTCGCGGCGGAGTTCTATCAAGGTATGGCTTCTATTCCTCGATGGGTGTACTTTTTGCCAAGCACTAATTCTTGAAATGTACGACACTGGAAGCGCGCTACTATACCTCAGGCTTAGGGACCTCGTCGTTTTAATGCCCAAAAATATATTTAAAAAAAAGAAAAAAAAAACCGTAGCAATATTTTTTAAAGTCTTTTTATGTTATTCTGATATTTAACTTATAAACTGAATAGAACGTATTGTTACTTAGTTTTAAGGCTCGGAAAAGATGTCTATGAACGGCAGTGAGAGCAATATCGCTTGAGATACTATCGTCACGAACACTACTGTACAGGCCGTGTTCTAGCCGACGAGAGTAACGAAATTTAAACGCTAAAAAAGTATATCAGGACTGAGGCTATGCATCGTATCTTTATCTTAACCATTAGAAGTTAGATAAAGATAGTAGACATCAATTGCTTGCGTCAAGACGTTAATAATCCAATAGAAATAAAATTATTTTGCTAACGTAATGTAAGCTCTCAAATATTTCGCCGCATGAGACCCACATGATGTCGGCTACGACCTCAATAATTATGATAGCAAATCACCTTAAGCGATATTTGAAAAACAATTTGTCGGGCATATATTGGGTAAAAAAGCGGGGGATTTCGACCACTCTGGATTTTGATCAATATAAACATTATCTTGGATTGCGAGGAAAGCAAGACTACGACGCGCTTGGAGCGCATCCGTTAAACACGTGCTTGCATTAGCTGAAGGTTCCTAAGCCTAACGCCCAAGCCGCCCCCTCTCTCTCTCTCTCTCTGTGTGTTTGCATTCTCTGTGCTATACTATGATGATAAGGTCAACAACTGAATTTAATCTTAATTTGTGTCTATTCATTGCTGTCGTATTCCTACTTATTGCAAATCTGTACTTCTGCAACCACTATTGAAAGAAGGAAAGCCTTACTTCGAGCACATCTCTTAATATCCGCCATGATGGTCCGCAGGTCCGACAGCACCATCTTGGTCTTGTCGTCTCTGAGGAAATGCCGTTTGCAGGTGACGGTCATGTTCACGCCCTCGGCCAGGTCCGCGAGCTCGTTGTACAGGGTCTCGTAATAGATATTCCGGTCGCGGTACACGATCCCAAAGTGGGTCCACTGGAAGTGACCCAGGAAGGCGAGGATGGCCCGCGCCTTGTCCCTCAACACGTACGACGTCCTGATGAGCGTTGACGACTGGTTCGGCTTGCGCTCGAAGCTGTCTCCGAGGCCGGTCACCACAGGAATCTGCCTGTAGTTGGCGTAGCGCTCCACAATGTTCAGGTCGCTGCTGCACGAGGGACCCACAAAGGCAGCCACCCTCGTTACAGCCGCCAGAAGATCGGTGGCTCGACCGATGGCGTAGCGCTCCGAGCACCGTTTGGGATAGTAGGCCTCTATGATCTTGAGATGGGTCGCGTAATCTGTCCGGCACTTCTCTTCGGCGGCGATGTCGATGGCCGGTCCGATGCGCTGGATGTCGAAGCGGTTCTCCTCGGACTCGGAGACCATGATGACGGCCACCGTGTATTCAACGGGCGAGGCGACCGTTAGCGATAGTACGGCCAGAAGCAGGCACGCGTGCGCGACTCGCTGGAACTGGGCCATGCCGCGGCGTCGGGATCACTGAGGCCCCGCCGAAAGCGGCACCGCTCGCCCGTCTCGCCACGCGACGGAGGCGCCGTCGCACTCAGGAGTGGCTCCGGTCCGCGGGCGCTCCGCGAGGCTGGGGCCAGCTGCCGTTGACTGGCCGCCGAAACAACCCGTCACTGTCGAAACCACAGATCGGCAGCCTCGAACTCAAGCGGGCGTCAATAAGACGACCTTAAGTTTATCCCCGCCCCATTTCTTACTCCCTTCGGGCGCTGCAGGAGCGAACGATGTAGGTTACAGCTACCCTTTGTGTCTTGTCGGCCCGTGCGTGTGAGTGGTTACGGTGTCTTTGATCGGATAGGTACGGGTGTTTGACAAGATCTGAAATCGTTTCTTTTTCTTTTTTTACGGATTAGGTACACGATTGTTGAACGGTTAAAATTAATTTTCATAATAAAAGAAGTCGTAATTTTACTAAGATCTCGAAGAATTTTTTTACGCAGCGTAAGAAATCCTTCGTGTTTAGGTTTTATTGAAATGAGGATGATTCAGGTCAACTGATAGTTTTGTATTTCATGTGAGGGTACTGAGATTCTTAAACGCATTTTCTTAAAACAAAATCAATTTAGAGCGTGGGAAATCGATTTCAATTGAGCCGATGACGTAATTCTGCACTTTATCTTATATTTCTTGCTTCTTGCTGAATGTTTCATGTAGGGTGCCAAAAGAAAAATATGAAAACTAACAACTCAGTTCGCTAATGTTGGCATACTTGGAGTAGTTCGTGAATTGGTATTTATAAAGTATTGCGTAACATTACAGCAATTCTCTCTTAAAACTGAGAACACAGTTCTTGAATGTATTAAACTCTTTTCTGAACTCTATGAGTACTGTAAAAAAAAACTAATCAGCAGCGTCTTTTCTTTTCGAAGTTCTATAATGCATAAAATACATTAAAGTTTTTTTTTTGGCAAAACTATAATGTATTTTATGCATTATAAGATATCATAGGTTTATAAAATATCAGGCAGGTGGGGACGGAGGGGGAGACGGATAGGAGGGGGCGATACACTGGGACGAACCTTACCTAGGTTTATCTAGGAGGTGTTGCTAGGAGGGGAGAAGGTTGGGAGAGAAAAGCAGAGGAAAGGGAGGGGAGGGATGTGGGAAGGGAATTGGACGTATACTTTCCGATAAAATTAGCGCAGAAACTGAATGGTTGTACTCGTATAGGTCACGTGACATCAGGTCATAGGACGCCGATTTCCCCTGCTAACTTTAGCGGGGAAACTGGATTCGTGTCTAGGTCGCAAGACATGAATTTTCCCGCTAAATTGAGCGGGAAAACTCAGTTGACGTATAGGTAGGATTAGACATGTACGTAACGCGTTGCTAGTAACGAGCTACTTCTACCTAGTTACTGTTTTCGGTAACGAGTAACCTATTTATTTACTTTGTCTAGAAAAGGAATGAGTATCGTACGTACTTACTTTTAAGTCCAAGTAACGAGTAATGGTATTTCCTTAGTTTTGACGAGTAACGTGTTCAACACCGTTTGAACAGTCTTGTTTATAATTATAGCCCGAGCATGCGTCTATTCCGACCGAGGCAGATGGGCAACCCGAAAAAATCAACTTAACCGTATAACAGTATAGCAACGTTTCTTGCTGAACACGTCAGTCGAACTTCACAACTGGGAATGTCTTTCACCCAGCAAACACAATAAGGTTCGTTGGTTGAACCTTCTAGAATCGTGTAGAGACCGAATGTAAACCTGGAGCTTGCCAACGCGGGAAGGCACAGAACCCATTTTCAAGTTGGAACTTTAGAACCAGAGAGAACAAAAGAGAGGGGAGTCCCAGATTTACATGCTCTTTTGGAAGCACAACGCTTCCATTCCTTCGAATGCGTCGCCGAAGATGCATTCTCAAAAAAGCGGGGAAACATAACTGATGAGAACTTAGACCGGAAGCCACTGCTTAAGTGCATCGACTACTGAAAATACTCCAGGAGAGTACCAGAGCCAGGCTTGAAAGGCAATAGCATGGTTTGGTCCCACCGTTCCACAGCATTTCCTTGGAACGTACTCAAGAAGTTGGATTTCCATTCGTTCCAAGGCTCGTCAGCGTGGTCAACCAAGGGTAACTTGTACCACTGCTTGGCTACCTCTCCAAGAAAAAGGCGCATGTTTTGTATGCGGTTTCGTTCTGAAGTCCAGGAATTTTTTTCGCAGGCGTACTCGAAGAACGCAATCCAACCTTCCGGACTCTTTGATTGCCCGTTGAAGATGTCTGGCTTTACCGCCTCGTATCTGGGCCTTTTATTCTGCACGCTGAGCGTTGACTTGAAGCTTTGGATAATGATGTTTTGCTGTGACATTTGCTGCTGTTGAGCATAAATCGCTTGGAGCACTGCTGCCACATTGGAAGCCGGAGACGCTTTTGGGGCCGTAGGGGCCGGAGTCGCCACTCGCTGCGACACAAGCTTGTGAAAGACAGCCATTTGTATGTTAATCTTGACTGACCCCTTTTCCATCAACTTCTCCCAAGAAATTGTACCTTTCTGGAGGACCAGGGGTGCTGTGTTGCGCGTTTTGGACTCCCGGGAGACTTGGGAGAAGGAAGTGACGTTAACGACTAGAGCAAACGCAGATTGGATGTTGACAGAAGAAAACAAAATCAACATCCAATCTGCATTTGCTGCGTTGTTGACGTCACGTCCTTCTCCCTAGTCTCCTAGGAGTCCAAAAAGCGCAACATAGCACCCCAGTTCGATGAGCTCCGGTGATGTGACATGCTCTGGCAGCTCCACGTCTGGTTCATCTTAAACTTGATATCGGTTGAAAACCACTCGGTCTAGGTCCGGAGCAACAGAAAAGAAATCTCAAAACGCATTCGTCACCATCTTAATCCCCGACGTTCTTCTTCTTCTTTTATTCACCCTCCCCCCCCCCCCTCGCCCTTTAGATATTTTGCGCTGCTTCGTCTTCTTTTTTTTCTTGTGGTCTTCTTCAAAAATCGGACAATAAACCATGACACAAAAGCAGTTGTGTATTTGGCCATAAAAGTAACTCGTTTTTTGACCATAAAATAACTCGTTATTTGACCATAAAAGTAACCCTGTCAGAACGGCAGTCAAGAATGTTTTCCTACGCTTCCATTTCGAAGTACTGCCGGTCAAGACGTGGCTGGTTAAAAAAGGTTTCTTTGAACCGTGGTCAACATATTGTGCGTTGTGTCCGTTTCCCGAAACACTTGAACATGTGTTTTTGTACTGTACGAATGCGAAGCTTTTTTGGGCAGAGCTTCGAGCAGTGCTGCAGATAGATCTTTACGTAGAGTGGAAGAGCGCGAAATTTCTGCTTTTCGGCGACAGCGCACAGAGTAGGGCATGGGAGCTGCTGGCACTCCTCGGTCTATATGCGCTGTGGCGGTCGAGGACGGATCACTTGGAGGTCCGAGAGGGATCCAAGCCCGCCTGGCAACACTTCTGCGACGGCTTTCTGTACGTGAGCAGCCTTCTTGAGGCGACGGAACAACAAGGGCTTGAATGTTGGTCGCTATTTGGAAGGCGTATGCATAACCGCGCTCTAAAGGCTCAGTGGTAAACAAGGATTCCCGGGCCACTGCGCGAGTGGCTGCATGGGGTGCATCTGACGCTACAGAGAAATGATTGAGCGAGATACATTTTGAATTTGTGTGTGAATCGCGGTCCTCGCCTGTAAACAGTGCTCACTGACATGATAAGTGTATGGCAACCAATGTGATCATTTTAAAACTTTGTAAATACCCATACTTTTAATAAAAAAAAAGGGATCGGTGGCCGAGTGGGCTAAAGCGCACACCCAGCTCGAGGAGCGTGGAGCGAAAGCTCGCGCTGTAGAACCCAGGGATCCTGGGTTCGAGCCCACCCCTGCCCGTTTCGATCTGGATAAGCATCGTACCGGCTTGCGGTCGTGTATCACTACTGCGTGGTGCACGTTAAAGACCCCAGGCTAGCGGTTGTACCGCACTGGCTAAATTGCTCATCTACTGCGTGTGACTCGTCGCAACTTTAATGGCTGACCAACTACACGCTGTATAAATATCCACACAACCCCCAAAACAGGAGGTAACGTAATGCGATCCTTTTCAAAATCACTAACCAGTAACGTATTTAGTTACTCTTTTTAGTAACGTTTATTTTTTGTCGAAATCGTAGGAGGTTTTTCGAAGTTTAGTTTTTGCCGAAAATTCAGAGTTTAGATTTTTTATTCTGAATCCTCTAAAATTCGGAGATTAATTTCGTAGTATTTCCCATTCAAAATAAATTAACACATAAATAAATAACATCCGGGTGCAAACGTAGGAGATAAAAATATGAAACGGGATTGTATCAATTATTATTTCTTCAGCTGGATTTGGTGCTGCTGCCATTGCCATTGGCAATACTAGTTTGTTCCACGACAAAGTTGCACAAAGGTGTTGCTTCGATAAGCGTCGATAACTTTAACACTCGTAGTGGTTGTCACTGGGAATTTCGTATTCATCCCATCCTATTTGATCAATTTATCCCGCGGCCGCGCGAGGTGGAGTGGTAAAGGCTGTAATAGAAAAGTTTCAACTGTCCCTCTTTTTCACTTTATGCAATCTCTGTAATCCACATACTGTTACAAAAACAACCACTTCTGTATGACCGAAACTGTAGACTGAGACCATGGCTTTTGTTGTGACCCGAAAGTATAATGGCCGGTTGTCGTGAATGAACCTTGACAAGATAAGCGGTAAGACCCCTTTTGAGAACGGTCTGAGATTTGAAAGATAACTGGGGGGGGGGGGGGGAGGGGGGGAGGAACATTTTTCCAGGACCATTGAATCCGTGCGCTAATGGAACTTCATTGTAAAATACCGTATTTTTTATTTTTTAATAATTATTTTTGGAGGGTGGTTTACGGGGGGGGGGGGGGGGCATGGGCACTTTGAAATTCGGAGTTCATCGGATGAATACGAATAGATCAAAATTTTACCGGCGGGTGTCCTTGGAGTTTTTCAGATTTATCCAAAAACACGGGGCCCGGCGTATAGGTAAGGTGCTGTCAATTTCCAGAAGGTGTATGGGTCACGTGG